ACTTAACTTTGAGAAAGTACAGAGTAAAACGAATGAACCACAATGGCAATCAACAACATGCACGAATTTTAGCAAGATGATATTAAAAAGTAATATTAAAAGTCCAAAAAGAGTATATGCAACACAATGTCCTCATTAGAAAATTAAACACTGAGATGCCAAGTTTTAGAAATACATATAATTGCAATAAAACTATATAAAAAGTAAGGAAATACACACGAATTCAGTGTGATGGTTATCTTGGCTAGGTTGGAAGGCGTGGGGCATGCAATTAAACCTAAGTTACTTTCGAGATATTGTCAGCAAAGAAAACTTGTATTATGTTTATTATATTCTATTTAACAAAAGAGATTTAATACATTTTCACCAGAAATTTTTTAATAAAAATTAAAAGACTTAGAGCACCTATCTAGAACATTTATTTCCATGCAAGTCTTCATTGCTCCATAGTTCTAGAACAGTGAGACAAACTAGGTTTGTATCCAGCATTAGACTCATATTTACATCTAATAAATATTGACACATTTGATAAATTAAAAGAGTATTTTACTTTGTCAAGTAGTGCAAGTCACATAAATATAAACCTACATTGAAATGATCACACCATCTTCATTCACATTCCCCACAACACTTTATGCAGCATTAATTACAGTATAAACAAGTAAATGTCTCATTTCACAATGACTCAAGTTTTACAAGCTAAAATCTGAAGCTTTACCCAAGAATTTGGCAGCCTGAAAAGTCACCCAGCACACCCCGAAGCTGCGTGACCCTCCTGCCAGGAGGCCTGAGCGCCGACACTGCACGGCAGGCAAGGCCCAAGTCGTTTGCCCGAGTCAAGGTGTCCTTCAACTGGAAACAGGTAGATTTGCTCAGCAGTCACAGAAGAACGTGTTGCCACACATTCTAGGCTGTTCTAGTCTCAGAGTAGTTAAATTACAACTAGAGGGAGAAATAAACCATGACTCATTTTACAGTCCTTACTTCTCGCACTATTTCATGAGAAATGTTGTATTATAGCCACTCGGCAATGCCACTGTAAGAGCAGTGAGGATGCCCGCATCTCAGTGTCCCCAAAAGAATGGATGTTGTCACTGTTATCATCCTGGTCAGAAAAGAGGACCTTCTACCTCCAGGGGAAGAAGCAAGGAGTGTCCATGGAGCTTGATCATGAGCAAACCTCTTTTTGTCTCTGCCTTCTAATTTCTCAGTTCCACCTAGGATTTTGATACTATTTAGGAAGAGATACCACATCACCAAGAAGCAGGAAAACTGGTATAAGTAGTAGGTAATTATTGAGTAGAAAATAAAAGGGTTTCATTGAAAAACACTTCTAAATTATTTTCAGAGTTCTGAATCTCTCATTTCATTGACTTAAAAGTAATGTATCTATTAATTAGAGGTCTGGAAAGAAGAGAAAATGTCCTCTCTAATCCCTTCACAAACGTTTTCCTAAAATATTCCATATTATAATAGAGAATTTGCATAAATTTACTACCTTTCCTTAGGATGAAAAGATGGCTTAATAACCATTTAACACCCAAAATAATTTTTGCTATGTAAATTGTAGGTTTTTATCATACAATAATTGAGAAATTTAGAAAATGTGAGGAAGCCAAAATAATTTAATACAAGTTTTATTTAGAAATTACATCTGAGTGAAGAAGTAAATAAAGCTGCAGTTGCAGCCTCATTAATAAAAGGTAAAGTTGACGATTTTAAAAGGATGCAATTGTATTAATATGCTAATTTAAATTGCATGTAGAACTTTAACTTAAAAGAATATGTATAAATATTAATTCTGGAAATAATACTTGTATGCATACTATAAGAACACTTAATGAATAATGTTAGCTTGCAAAGAAATACTATTAATTCAAAGAGAAGGTAGTTTTTCTATTCAAGTAAGTCCCAACTGCAATAAAAAATACTCAAATTAACAAATAATTATGATTCAGTTTAAAATTCTATCCTTAAATTCTTCATAATCTTCTTGATAAACAGATCCTAGATAAAAGATGACAATTGAGTATTGTTAATACAAAATGTTATAATCAGTAACCACTGAAACATCATTAACATTTCTAAGACTATAAAGCAACAGCCTCCCCCCCATCCTCCATTGTGATAGCTCTACGTTCTCTAGTTGACCATGAAAAGCTTACAATTGACTTGATATTAACTCATATTTTTCTTCTCCTCTCTAATGCTTGCCAATAATGTTGGTGACTTCAACAGCCCCGTTTACAGGAACTAGCCACAAAAATGCGACAACACAGGCCTTTACTTTCAAGCCACTCCAGCCACTAATAAGGTAATTGCTTGTATACTGTCATCGCTTTGGAACTTCTGCTTTACTTCCGGGTGCGGAAACTTTTCAAATGTCCCTAGCCGCCCTATTTCTGTACTCCTATTTTCTGTATCGACACTCTCCCTGAACAAGGCTACTGCCCCCCTTTGTACTGCCAACTCCTTGACCTCTGTCAAGTTTGTTTGAGTCCCCCCTCAGCTCCACAATCCCCCAGTTCTCCCGGCAGAACCCTGAGAAGCCCTCTTTGAAACTTCCCTCTTCATCCTAGACACGGTCCAGCATTCTGGTCTCAGTCCTTTCTCCCCTGCATCCACACACGGAGGCTTCACCTCCTGCTAGACCTACACCAGACCTTCCTGCGGTATAGGTGCCACGCTGGCAACACAGCACTTCCAAGTGCTTGCTTGGAATTTTCCTGGAGCACCTCACTATCCCCTAAAATTCAACATGCAAAAATAAAACTCAGTAACTTCACGAAACTAGCTCTTTCCCTTGACTTTCCTATTTTTTCCCTATCCATTCTCAAAACTCAGTAGTCTCTTTTGTATCCCCTTCCTCCAAGCATGTGTCTCCCCTCCACCCCTCTGCCACTCTTAGTTAAGCGCATTTCTCTTTCCACTTGGGCCACTGTTACAATGCCGGGTGTTGATCTGATCAATCCATTGCTTTAAAATGTTCTATTCTGACGATGTACAAAATATACACATAGTCTCTAATATCTTTCCATAAAATATTAACTAAACACAAAGAGAAAAATAGTAACTACATACATAGTGGAAAAATGGACAACAACTTCACTAGCAGATCGAAGTTAATATCAACAAGGAATAAATGAAGATCACACAACTCCAAACAGGATACTCCAAGAAGAAAGTTTATAGAATGTTTTCAGCCAAAAATGCAAAACAGGAATCGAATTATGAGAAGTATCACAAATCCAGAGAGATAGCCTGAAAAATAACTGGCCTGTATTTTTCAAAAATGTCAATATAAAAGACAAAGAAAGGCTGAGGAACTATTATCAATTAAAGAAAACTAAAGAATCCTGGCCAGGTGGCTCAGCTGGTTGGAGCATGGTCCTGTACACCAAAAGGTTGTGGGTTCAATCCCTGGTCAGAGCACGTGCCTTGGTTTTTGGGTTTGATCCCTGGTTGGGGCACTTATGGGACGTAATCAATCAATGTTTCTCTCTTATATCGATGTTTCTCTCTCTAAAAGTCAATAAACATATCCTCAGGTGAGAATAAAAAAAAAAGAAAACTAAAAAGACATGACAACTAAATGTAATTCATAATCCTGGACTAGACCTGGTACCACACACACCAAAAAACCATTAAAGACATTATTGGAACAACTGAAAAAAAAATGGAATATAGAAAATAGATTATATAAAAGTTTTATACCAATGTTATATTTCCTGAATTTGGTAACTGCACTCTGGTTATATCAAAGATACCCTTGTTCTTAGGACATACACACTAAAGTATTGTATGTGTGTATGTATTTACACACATACATAGATAGAGAAAGTATGAGAATGATAAAGAAAATGTGGCAAGATGTTAACAGTCAAGCAAAATCATGGTTATTCTGGAGTTTTTTGTATTATTTTTGCAATTTTTCTGTACACTTGACATCATTTAGAATAAAAAGACAATTTCCATATTTGCCCCATTACCTACTGAACTGAATACGAATCCTTGGCCCCGTACTCACATGAGACCCTCTGAACTACAGTCTCGGTGTGTTTGCATGCCCTCCTTCTACTTTAACCAAGCTTTACTCAAACGCTATTCCTAAACATTTTCCTGGATGGCATATACTTGCTCATGTCCATGTCCAAAAACATACACCCTTCTCCCACATTCCCATTTATAAATGTCTATTTTCTCTTTTCCGAGACCCATCTTACTTCTCTTTTCTATTACTTTCCAAACCCCACCAAACTGGATATAGTCTCTCCCTCAGGATTTAATGAGCCCAGATGACTAGTAAGCCAGGGAACAATTCAAAAGAAAGGGGGAAAGATAATATGTTCAGTTTTAAACATGTGAAATTTAAAAGTAACTGTAGAATAGCCTACCAAAATTCAGAGGGACATGACCAGAGGTCCGGGGGGACTACGGATTTAAGGGTCATGCAACCAGAAGGAGCAACTGAAGCTACAAAGATATGGGTGTGTTATCTCAGAATAAACATGTAGAGAGAGAGTAGGCCCAATAATCCCTCCTAGAGCAGCATTTGTTATTAGGTGGCAGCAAAAGGGACAGACAAAAATACTCAAAATGGCAAAAGAAGAACCATGGCATAGTCTCCAAGACATGAAGAAGGAAGGAAAATTTGAAGTAGTATTAGTAAAATTATATTAAATGTGACAGCATGTTCAAAGAGAAAAGAGAACTAAGCAGATGCATGAACAAAAAGAAAAAATATGCACCATGGAGACAGTAGTTTCAATAGCACAGCAAAGATGGGGCCCAAATAAAGTTTATTAAATTTCAGCAAATATTTAATGAGTGCCCACTATGTGCCAAACACTGGGTTTAAGGAAGGAAACTGGCTGGAATTAGCAATGACTATACACTAAAGGTTAAAGAAAGTAGGATATAAAGGGGAAATTTTTAAAAGTCTGTATTTTATATTATGCTTTTTACCAAAATAGATTCTTACCAAAAGATGATAAGAAGATTCATCTTGTGTAATCTGAGTCTAGAAACAATATAAAACACAAGGAAAATTCAGGTTGGCCTCTAGGAATGGTTTTCCTATTAATAAATACATATTAAGGAATAAGTTATAACATTTTAAAAACATGATTATTAGTTTTTGTAGTCTGGCTTAAAATTGCAATATAAAATAATGAATTACAAGGATGTCTTTTGTTTATAAAGAGGTTATTTCTGAAAAACACAACATATTATCTTAAGTTATTAAACAATCCATACAAGATTGTTCCATGGTTAATAGAAAGCCTCTTGCTGAAGTCCATGAGAAAATAACAAGTTCAAGGCTACAGCCAGAGCAAAATTAGATATAATATAGTATGTTCATTAAAGTAATTAGATCTGGATTAACATTCAGAACAAGGTCTGGGTTTTTTACACATTGCTCTGCTTATTCAAACATCCCCTCCACCTATAAAACCATTGACTACTTTTCCTCCTAATCACCTTTCCTGCCTCATTCTCCTTAATTGGATAAGAAAGGTAAAATCAAGTATCACTAATTTGAACATTGGCTTATATGCCATTATTGCAAACAATTTCTGCTATTATTGATGCAATATTACACAAACGATAATGAGTTTCTACTGTTAATGGCTTACAAAACAGCACTCTGTTATAACTGCTATTGTTTGAAAATATTCCTCGTAAAATTATATTCTGCACATTTACTGTCAAAATAGAAGTTGTCATCAAGTGACTGTACTAAGGACCCACAGAAGCATTCAGCATGGCAACACGTGTATTTGGACATGCATGTGAAGGAGAGAAAATAACTTATAATTTATCGATCCATGTGGCATCATTAGTTACATAGATTTTTTTTTATCCAATTTAATTGCTTGAGAACCCAGATCTTCCAATCACTTTAATAAACTAGATCACATCTACTGTTGCTCTGGCCACAGTATCAAACTTGCTATTGATACGGCTTTAGAAAATGGTTTAATTGATGAGATATTTTCTAGGCAAGAGGTAACGACATCAAGGCTGTAACTCAAGGGCAGATTTTGTTTAAATGCGTTAAATTAGATGGCAGCATCCATGTGACTAGAGTGACATATAATTTTATATTGCTATTAAAATGTTTTTCTCATCAACATGGATGAGTTCTGTAATCTGTATTAAAAGGGTGGCATTAAAATTTAGATTGAACAAACAAGTGTGTTCCCTTTGCTCAGCAGATTCCAGTCAACAGTCATCGTGTGCACCCCCCACTCACACCTGCGCCCGTGGTCTACTCTGCCTCACTGCTTTACTATCTGTACGTTGTACTTTTAATTATGACGAACAGTGGTTATCAGATAGCCTCGTTTCCACAGTTCTGTACATTGCATGTGACAATTAGGAAAACTGCTGTTCTAATGTGATCTGAAAGCAACTAAATTGTTAGAGAAGCCAGTCGTTAAAGACAATAAAAATTATAACTTACTTTCACTAGGCAGTCGTTGGCCTTTCAGCCTGACTCTGTATTTTTCATTTTCTTGCAGCATTCTACCAATGAACTTGTGTAATTTTTTCCACACTGAAACCTTAAAAAGCACAGTAAAGGAACACTGAGCAGAAAAGCGGGCACACATTTTGATGGGGGCAACTGGGAGTGACTTTTTGTGTTGTGTGTCAATTGACATTATTGTTATAAAGCAATATTAGCACTTAGAGACCTAAAACTTAAATGTCATCTCTTCCCCATTATCACTGAATTCTCTGATTTTTTTTTCCCCCAACTTCCCAGCATTTCCTCTCTGTAGCATTTAAATTAACTATCCTGGATAAAGTTTCCTTCCGAAGGCTGTGTCTATAAAGCTCTACCAAAATGGTTCCAACATGCTCGATTTTGTTTGGGAAGATACTGAGTTGGCCAAAAAGTCCGTATGGTTTTTGTCCATAAAGTAAAAGACACATTTTTTCCTTTTCACCAGTAACTTCATTGAGATAGCTATTTCTTGTATGTCGGCTATCTCCCACATGGTAGAACGTTGACTGTTCTCAATTAATGTCTCAATTTGATTGCTATCAACTTCAACTGGTCTATGCAACCGCGGAGCATCATCCAGCGTGAGATCTCCAGCATGAAACTTTGCAAACCACTTTTGACATATTCGATCAGTCACAGCATCTTCTCCATCCACTCATAAGTCCTTTTTGTGTTTCTGTTGTGTTCTTACCTTACTTGAAATGATAAAGCATAATATGCCAAAAATGTTGCGTATTTTCTTCCATCTTCAATATTAAAATGGCTACACAAAAATTCATCAATTTTGATGTTTTTTAAAAATGCATGCTGATACGACACCTGTCACAATACAATCTAACAAAATTGTCTCGAATGAAGTTAAAGACAACTGAGGGCTTTTAAAGGCATCTTATGGACAAAACTAAACGAACTTTTTGGCCAATCCAGTAATAAAAATAATGAATTTCTATTCCTATGTCTAAACTACTGGGCCATAATTTGATTTTTAATGTATTTTATTCTACATAAGAATTAAACATTTCTGCTAAGACATATCAAAGCAAAACAACTAGAGAGCAAGAATGTACTAGAACAGACAAAATAAGGACGATGGAAGCAAACACATAGACCTCAGCTCAAATTCTGGCTTTGCCACTCACCAGTTGCTTGACATGGGCAAGTATTTTAATCTTATCTAGTAATTAACTTCATACATGGGATTATTAGAATAAAAAATAGTTGTAAAGCACTTACTCGTGTCTGGCACCTAATAGTTATAAGTAAATACTGGCTATTGCTCTTTTCTTCTCACCCAAGAGGGATTGGTTCTTGGAAGAAATATTTCTTAGTGGGAAAATTAGGTGCTCACTCAAAATCCATGTGGTTAGTCACCTTGAATGTTATTTATATACTGTATGTGAATTATAACCCAAGCACCAAGCTCAGAAAATACAATTTTATGTGTCATTATCAACTAACACGTTCTGTAAACTGAAGTATAAAGCATGCAGTGGACATCAAAGATGAATAGAGAAACTAATATTGAAAGTGTTCAAAACACTCAAGTTACCATAACATTTGGACCAGAGGTGAAAAGGGCTCAGCACTAAAGGTTCGTCCTTGTCAGCTTTCCTGCTAGACACTTAATGTACATTCCTTGTCTTTTAAAGAGCAATGACACCAATAGTTACATTATTCTTTTCTGTGAAATACACAATTCTCTTCTTACATTACATTATCTATCAGAGTTTGTTATAGCCTATGGAACATATTTTCACACTTTGAAAAATCTCCCAGTGGGTTACATTTTGATTAAAATGTGTTTTATACCTTCAAACACTGCAAGGACTATTCTTTATGGTTAATAAATATAATATTTCCAAACCAAGTTCCATTTCTGCTAAATTAATTTTATTTTCTCATTTCAGTAAATCGAACTTTTCAAAAGATGAAACTATTTTTACCATCTTGAGTATCTTCCCACATTTGTATTTAGAGAAATTAATCTAAAATTCAAATACTTCTCATTCCCCTTTTCTAAAGAAAAGTACCTTTTTCTTTTTCTTCATTATTTTGGAAGCTTCATTGTAAGGTATAGGAAAATCAAACTTTTTAATTAAAGTCTTCTGGACTAAACCTAATTTTAAAAAAAGAAAAAAGAGGAAATGTCAAGGTCAGTACCTATTTCAAAGGCATCATGGTCCTGAGAACAGAGGCAACTATAAATGTCTCTTGAGCTCTCTTTCGGGAGTTTTACAATTGGTATATTTCTGATCATTGGGTAATACCAGTTTTCTAATTAGCTAATATAATGGTGGGAAAACAAAAAGAAGAAAGACAATTAGAGATAACCTTGGAAGTGCCTAGGAAATATCCTTTCTGTTCTGATTTGAAAGGTGAGCCCCTAAAAGATCAGCAACAGTAAGCAAATACCAGCACCCAATCTTGCCCCAATGTACTTCTGTGATCTCCCTTCCTCTCCATTCAACTTCAATACATTATGCTGCCAACTACACAAAACACCTGTGGCTCCTCAGATGTGTCCTGTTCTTACCCCTCCCAGCCCTTGTCCTTGCTTCTCTGTCTGCTAGGACACTGTGTGTGTATGCTTGTGTGCACGCGCACACACGTGCACCTGGTAAACTCCTACCCGCCCTTCAAGACTCAACTCGCACGTCATCTTCCCTAAAGCCTTCCCTCAAGCATGCACAGTCCCAAACAGCACTGGCTCCAGGACACCTTAGAGCCCTTAGCACACTTTCACATCAAGTGCTTATATTGCGGTTCTTCCTCTAGGCTATGACCTTCTAGAGGGCAATGGCTTGTGTGCCTTATTCATCTTTCTGTCCGCACTGCCAGACATAGGAGATACTGATAAAAGTTCCTCAGCGGGAATAAGCATCCTGACTCTACTCACTGAACCATGCTGCTGTCCCAAAATATTAATTGTTAGAAGAAAACCTAAGGGCGGTGTGTCCAAAGACAAAATCATAAAACAGTGGGCATGTGTTCCCTGGAAGCCTTTATAATCTCCTTTTGTCTGAACACCCCCATCCTTAACTCACCTGGTTCCTACCCGGCCACCACTCCCTACCTGGCTCCTCCTACTCGCTCCATACTCAGCTTGCTGGGGCGTTCTCTGGTCTCACAAAGCACCCGGGGCTCAGTCCTTATAGGATCTATCACACTGTTGACCTGAGGAGTGTGCTCTACTCTTCATGGGAGGTCCAGTTTCTAATGCCATATGAATTAGCTATACAATAACCATTCTGTTTGAGTAAATTAGAGCATGTGCTGAAACGGCACCTCCCAGTTTGTGAGAAGCATGCTGCGGATTCTGGGCGGGGCACAGACAGAGCACGAAAGAACATTCTCTCTCAGGATGTGACACTAATTCCCCTCCCATTTCCTTTTCAATCTTCTGTTACATCAAGGAGAAAGTCCAGGTCTGAAATTAGTACGTCATTAAGACTTCTCTGAGACTTGCTAACTGCTCTCTGTGTCCACAGACAACCTTCAGCAGATGATCTATTGGGCTGAAATTTAATATTGTTTTGCCTTTATTAGATTGTTTTTAATTAATTTATATTTATGGCAAATGGTACATATTTTCCACTGAGGTAATAATATAAAGGGTTCTAAAAAGAAATTTAGTTGAGAGGGAAACATGCACCTATTTAAAAAAACATATTAAATAAATGACTACAGATGAGTACATGGTGCAGGAAAATAACTGAAGCTCCGCTCTTCATTTGCCCGCATTTGTCCTTCCAACCCAATGCCTACGGCCTTTGGAACACTATACGTGCACCATTCCCAAATGTTCTGTTTGTAAGTCTTACCAAACCTAGACATATACTCCTTGAACTCAGGATAAGAGCCAACAAGTCTATCTGTAATCAGTGAGGATCCAAAATATGTCAAGTAGCACAGAGAATGCAAAAAGAAAAAACACACAATGATTTCTTCCTCTTGCTTTGTGTGCCTCACTGAGGCTGCTCCCATGTATAACATAGGCTTTGATCAGATCTATGGTTCAAATCTGTCTCTAGTTCTCACTTACTACACACTCTGACCCAGTCAAAATATACCTCTAGTTCTTCCCTAATCACTCGCCATCACTGATCCACATGCGCGGCTTTTTCCAACCTGTGATTCCCTCCTGTCTCAGTAGATGTGTAAATCTCATGCAGCTTCTACCACCATGAAGCCCTCCCTGATTCCCTCATCCCCAAACTACTCACCACTTCCAAAGCATTTATTTGTACCGCCACAAAGCAGTCGTCATCTGCTATTACATGTAAGTTACAACTACATCTCCCGAGTTCTGCTCGAAGGGGGAACCAGCCTGGTTTATTAGCCTTGTTTGAAATGTTGGAAGAGTTGCCTGATTTGCCTGCCCCTGGATTTCTAAACTCCACTACATCTCACAAACAGCTCGCAGGTTTATCTTCCAGAAGCGTACCTCTCTGAAGGTTTCACTCTACCATGCAGACATCCTCAGTGACTATAAAATGAGTTTCCAAGGCAGGAAAGAAAAAGGAGGGACACTAGAAAGACATCTACAGGAGACCTGGAGTGATCAACAGAATGATTAAATCCACCTTACAGCTTAAAATACTAAAACATATTTGGGCACATCACAGCACAGACTTGAGGGAAGAGATTTAAAGGGCTAGACACCACATAAAGTACCAAGCATGCAATTTAATGGGGCCAACTCAGTTTAAAGGACCAAGAATGATTTAAAGGGACAGCCCTCCAACTGCATGGCTTCTGGGGGAATAAAAGCAAAAAGAAAGGATATAAATCAGGTCACAAAGGAAACATCAGTAACATGTATGAAATGGGAATGTTACTAACAACACTTTCTGGTAACAATGCAATAAAACAAGAGTTTACCAACAAAAACAAAACAGCAAAGTCCTGTAAATTAAAAAAACTTCAAATCCATTAAGCAACTCTAGGATGAGAGGGAAATACAAACTGAAATTACAGAATTTAAACAATAGTGACAACATATTAGCACAACATATTAGCATCTAAGTTATTTAAAATAGTGATTAGAAGAAAATTCATTGCACTAAAATTTTTATCAATAAAAAACAAAAATAAAAATAAATGAATAAAATGTCCTGTTCAGAAAAGGTATAAAAGTACAATAAAAGAAAGCGCATGTAAGAAAATAGTAGTTTTATCTTTATTATATTATTTATCTTTATTAATGAGGATGAGACTTAACAAAATGTCTCATTGACAAATCAACATCCTGTTTTTTTTAATTAACAAAATAGATGCTCCCCCCAAAAAAGAACTAGTCAATTTGATCAAGAAAAAGCACATACTTCATAAAGAAGAAATGACAACGGGGAAATAACCATGGAAACAGAAATTTTCAAAAATCATAGGACACTACTTTGCAGACCTCTATGTAAATAAAATTGGAAACCTGGATAAAATGGATAATTTCCTAGAGAAATACTGATTACTAAAATTGACCCATTAGCGTTAGAAAAATTAGAGACCAATTTTCATAGGAGATATAGTAATTAGAATTATCCCACAAAAAGTAATAAAGCCAGATGGTTTCCCAGAAGAATTCTACCACACCTTCAAACACCAGAGTCCGTCCCCGTGTTCTATAAATTTTCCAGAACACTGAAAAGGAATGAATAGTTCCTAATTTGTTTTATGAAATAAATATAACTCTGATAACCTACACCAGATGAAGAAATACAAAGAAAGAAAAACTACAGCTCACTATTTCTCACAAATACCAATGCAAAAATTCTAATCAAATTGTTAGGAGAGCCCAACACTACGTTAGGAAACATGACATTGTCGCCAAACAGGATTCACTTCAGGAATGCAAGGTTGGTTCAGTATCAGGAAACCCATTTATAGCATATGCCATGTTAATAAATCTAAGGAAAAAATGTTATCGCCATAGATCTCAGAATGCCTCTGACAAACTTTAACACCCACTCCATCGTGATTAAAACACTGAAGAAAATAAAAATTGAGGAATGCTTTTTCGTGTTTTAAATATAGATGCCTTGCTCCTAAGGCCAGCACCTTATTCAACAGCAAACACTTGAGGCCTTTCCCCAAAGATCAGGAACAAGGCAAGAATGTCCACAACCTCCGGGCCCATTCACCACCACTGCACTCAAGGTATTAGCCTATGCAAAACAAATCCACTGCAGGCGTCGCGATAGGCGTAGAATTCTGTGTACGGATTACAGATCCCTGAAAAATCATGAGTATCAACCACGGCACTAACTCTAATAATAAAAGAATTCAGTCAAGTACTAGGATGCAAAATTAACATACAAAAGTCACTGGGCTCAGCGAAAGAAGCCAATCAGGAAAATTCGCATATTGTAGGATTCGATTTTCACGAAATGTCCGGAACAGGCACACCCGTGGAGACCGGAAGTAGTTCAGCGCCGCTGAGTGGAATGTGCTGTCAATTATTTCTCAGCAAAGACTTTTTTTTTTTTTTTTTTTAAAGAAAAGCACTGGTGGAGGGGCGAGCCCCCGAGAGAGGCAGGACTTTTTTAAGGCGATGGGATGATCTTTGTCGTGAGCGTCACTGGGGTGTGTGACTTTGTCAAACCTCCTCCAAGTGTATGTAAATCAATCCTCAATAAAGTTGGCTCTTTTCTAAAGATCAAGGAGCTCTGTAAGCACAAGCGACAAACACTTAGAGGACAGTGTGGAAGAGGAAACCCATTTACAATAGCAGCGAAGATCAAAGACGTAGGAATAAATCGACAAGAAATTTTTAAACATAAAACATTCCTGAAAGACACAAAAGTAAAACGAACAAATGGAAAGACAGTCTGTTTTCAGAAAGGAAGGGACGGAACACCTTAAAGATGTCGCCTCTCCTCAACTGACTTCCTAAATTCAGTGAATCCCAGCAGGAGCCCAGTAAGGACGCCGAGGACGCCTCATTCTGGGGGACCTCGGTGGCTCCAGCCTCAGACCCCTCAGGCTGATCTCAAATGACTGTCACGGCCACCTCAGCGCCCCGCCCCGGCCCCGGCCGAGGCCCTCCTGAAGCGCGTGACAGGACACTGACAGGAGGGCGGAGCCTGGCCGCCGGCGGACCGAGGCGCCCACGGGCCCGGACGCTGAGCGAGGCTGGGGCGGGAGGGCTGATGGAGCCCCCGGCCCTGAGACCCCCGACACCCGCCGGGCGGCTGCCGAGGACCATGAAAGGCGGCCTGACCGGCCGGCACCCGCCCGCCCCTGCCCTCTGGTCCCCTTCGCGCCACCTGCACGCGCCGCCGACCTCCCGCCGCTCCGCGCGCTCGACGGCCGCCCCGCTGAGGAGGCGGCGGGAGCCCCCGGCTCGGAGCCGGGGGGCGGCTCTCCGCCGCCTCGGGCCCCCGCCGCTCCACGCGGCTCCTTCTGGCTGCCGCCAGCCTCGAGCCCGGGGCTCCAGCGGCCCTGAGCCCGGGGCCCGCCCAGCGGCAAGACGCCGCCACACTGGTGCGAGCCGAAGCGGGCCACGTAGACGAAGCGCGCCGGGTCCCGCTCCTGCCTCCCACCGGCAGCCGCCATCGCCGCCGACCGTTCACAGCCGCGGCGGAGGAACCTCGGCCTCCACCGACGGGGGCGGGCCACGTCCGGGGGCGGGGCGCACTGGGGCGGACCACTGTGTGCGGGGGCGGGGGGGTTAGGTAGCTGAGGGGAGCGACCACTGTCGGGGAGGGGAGACTGAGGGCCGGACCACTGTGTGTGGGGGGGGGTAAGTAGCTGAGGGAAGCGACCACTGTCGGGGAGGGGCGTCTGGGGCTGGACCCCTGTGTGTGCAGGGTGTAGCCCAGGGGACAGACCGGACCACTGTGTGGTGCGGAGAAATTGGGGGGTGATGAGGTCTGGACCACTCTGTGCGGGGGGGGGCGGGGGGGGACTCCTGTGTGAGGTGGTGGGGGACAGACCACTGTGGGGGCGGCTAGAGGGCGGACTACCTGGGGGGCAGGTTGCCGCTGGGAAGCCAGTGAGGGGGGGAAGGCGGGAGGGGGACGCAGTAGCAGTGAGAGGCGGGGGCCGCGTCCCTCAGCGGGCGAAGGACAGAGGGGGCGTCCGCGGAGGGCCACTCTGCAGGGAGACGGGAGGCCCAGGGACACTAGAAGGAGCGGGGAGGAGGAAGGCCCCTTGGTTGGGGGGGATGGGGGCCCACGCACCTGGACAGTGGTGTTGCGTTCGGGGACCAGCTCACTTGAGGTGGGAGCGGGCCAGAGGGACAGAACCCTCTGAGGACATGCGTTGAATCAAGGAGACGGTGGAGGAAGCGCCCAGAGCTTGGGAGTGGGGAAGATTTAAGAGCGAGGAGCTGACCCTGGCCGTGACCAATGTGGAGTGTCTCCCAGATGAAGTTGGGGGCCTTGGGGCAGGGAGGCGGCCCCTTCGCTGCAGGGGCTCCCGTGGGACCTTTGTCTAGCACGCGTTCGTCCTGGGCCTGGGCCTCGAGTGACCCTGCCCAGAGAGGGCAGGGGCCGAAGCCGCACCGGGTCCAGCGGCTGACCAGCGGGGTTCTTTGGGCAGGACACTGTCCCGCTCTGAGCTCCCGGTGTCCTCAGATGCCAGCGCAGGATAGCTGAGTTAAGATAACTCCAAGGAAGGCAGAGGGTGCATAATGAGAGGCGGTTCCCTTAGCCTTAATTCTGATTTCTGTTATTGAGTACATAACCCTGTGAACTACGTGGTAATGGTTTTACATTTACACTTTACAGATAGCTTCTCCATAGACCATCTTTTTAAATCCGTATCATCTGACAGCCGAGAACTGGAGCTCCAAAATGTGGAGTCACTTCCCCAAAGAAATAGACAGTGGCATACGTTCTTAAAATAAGCTTTTAAAATTGAATTATAAATATGTGCATGAAAGTAAAGCAATCATCAGTGTACAGATGGAGGAATGTCCACGTTTGTACTATCCAGCCAAGCGAAGAAATGGAGCCCTGCAGAAGTACCTCATGTCCTTCCCCAGAAACACTTCCTTTGCTCTTTCCCATTTCAAACAACATCCATTAGGTCTGCCCATTGTGTTTGGCCTCTTTCGCTCAAGTTATGTTTGTGAGATACATGTTACTGCATGAGTTGTACATCATGGAATAGGCCCCCATTCATTCATTCATCCCACGGTTGATGGACATTTGGTAGTTTCCAACTTGGAGCCATTGCTAATAGTGCTGCCAGGAATGCTCTTAGATATACAAGGTCTGGGAAAAGTATAGCCATTGTTAATATAACGAGAACAGCTTGTGCGACATTGATGTAACTTGGCAGCCAAGGAGAGTGGGTGGGAATGCACATGTGTGAACAATGGTGGCTTCACTCTACTAGTCAGTGGAGGTGGCAGATGCCATTGAGTAAGCATGTGTACTGTGTGGCTGTCGCATTCAAAATGACTGAGCGAGCAGAGCAACGAATCTGCATCAAATTTTGCATTAAGCTTGAACATTCCTCCGTGGAAGCTATTCGGATGATTTAGAAGGCCTCAGCTCTGGGCAACTGGTGATTGGTAGGTTCATCGCAACAACGAGCCCACTCATGCATCATGTCTCCTGAAGAGTTTTTTTGGGAAACATCAAAACACCCAGGTGGCTCAGCCCCCCTACAGCCCAAATTTGGCATCATGTGACTTCTGGCGTTTCCCAAAACTAAAATCACCTTTGAAAGGGAAAAGATTTCAGGCCATAGATGAGATTAAGAATACAGCAGGGTATCTGATGACAATTAGAACTCTGTGATGTCCCAAGGTGCCTACTTTGAAGGGGACTAAGGCATCATTGTCCTGTGTGCAATGTTTCTCACATCTTCAAAAAATGTCTGTATTTTTCATATGACATGGTTGGATACCTTCTGGACAGACTTCATATACCACTTGTTGGACATAGGTTATAGTGCATGTATCTCAGTGTGGAATTGCTTAGGGTATTCATATGTTCAGCTTTAGTTGCTACTAACAAGCAGGAGCCCAAGATGGTTGTGCAAACTGACACTCCCACCAGCAAAGGGTGAGAATTCCAGTTGCTCCACACGTTCGCACATTCATAACCGTTTTAGCCATTTTGATGGATGTGTGTATTAGGGTTCTCCAGAGAATAGTACCAATAGGATTGCTCGTTCTCGCTCGATCTCTCTCTCTCTCTCTCTCTCAACTGTGGAGGCAGGCAAGTCCAAAATGTTCAGGATAGGCCAGCAGGCTGGAGACCCATGGAATAGTTGATGCTGAAGTTCAAGTCTGAAGGCCATCTACTGATAGAATTCCCCTATTTTCGAGGGAGGTCATTCTTTTTCTAGTAAGGCCCTCAACTGATTGGACGAGGCCTACCCACACTGTGTAGGGTAACCTGCTTTACTCAAAGTCCACTGGTTTAAATATTAATCTTATCAAAAAAATGCCTTCACAGAACCATTTGAATATTTGACCAAATATCTGGGTATTGTGACCAAGCCAATATGACATAAAATTAACCATGTGACATTTCTTTCTTGTAACTTGCATTTCCCTAATGATTTATGAAGTCCATTGGCCATTTGGATATCATCTTTGATGTTTTAATCTCTTCTCTATTTATATATGGGGTTCTCATTCAGTAAGTGGAATTCTTTATATACTCTGTATATTAGCTTAGTTGTGTGTATTGCAATTTTTTCCCTCACCTGTGGCCTACCTTATTTGTGCTGAGCATTTACATGGAGTGTGTACTTTAATTCTCAGGACCCCCCCAGTGAGACATGGGCTGTTGTCAGCCCCATTTTACAGATAAGGAAGCAAAGACACAAAGACGTTCAGTAGATCAGTCAGAGTCACAGCACAGAGGTCTGAGAGCAGGGATTCAAGCCCAGGCTGGGGGCTCCTGCATCCACTCCCGTGGCCCCTACTCAGACTGTCCTTATCACAACATCTATAACACTGTGCGGGAGCTGACCCCCGCCCACCAGAAACCACGGACAGAAGGGTGAAGAAATGAATGAATGGCTGACATTTAAGAAAGGAGCCTTTTTAGTTGCTCAGCTAATATCATCCACCAGGTGGCAGTCACAGCTCCCAGATAAAATTGTCTCTCTTTCCCTCCCCACCCCCACCTTTAAGAAAGAACTCAATTCTTATTTTTACCAAAGAGTAGCCTGAATTCCAACCACGACTCCTTCTGGCACTTGTAGAAAATGCATTTCCAGTCCATATGCACTTGGGAGAGGCGGCCCTGCGCTGGCCCAGGGTGTCTAGAAAGGCAGGTGCAGGACCCGCTCGGCTGGTGCACGGCCTGTGACGACCAGGAGCGATTGTGTAAGGTGCCCTCTCAGCCCACAAATGACGTGATCCCCTCCTGTCTCCCCTACCTTCATCACACAGCTGCAGGGGCTGAGAGGAAAGCCAAAGGATGCATATTCCCCACTATGAACTCCATTTGGCCAGCAGCAGGCATGGATGGGGACATACAGTCCCCCAGGAGATGGCCACATAGGACTGTCATAAAACAGCCATCCCATCTCATCCACACTTGAAATGCTGCGCCTTCACCCCCCACTGGTTCTGCCACATGCTTCTGGCAGTTTCTGCCACGTTCCTGAGCACGGAAAGAAGACTGATTCCAAGGGGGCGGGGGCTGAAATGGTCCTGGCTGCTAAGCGGACCGCGGCTTTCAGGACGCCCACCCTGGACCTGTCCGGGAAGGAAGAGGGCCCAGACCAGCTCCATGGTGGGGGCAGCAAGAGGGGAAGCATATTTTTTTAAGTGAAGAAATTGTGATATATTTTAAATGCTTACATTAAACAAATAAACACTATTAACTCACAAAATACAATGTCACAGAATTATGCTTTTCTCAGGAAATTACAGGAGCATGGTGTGGTTTTATATTGAGGAATAATTGACATGTAACATACTAGTTTCAGGTGTACAACATAATGATTCGGTATTTGTGTATATTTAAAAATGATTGCCACAGTAAGTCTAATTAACATCCATCGCCTCACATGGTCACAATTTTTCTCTTCTTGTGGTGAGAACAGGACTTATTTTTTAAGACTGGAGACTTTGTGCATCATAGGCAGAGGGTGTGAGGGCGGTACCCAAGTGCAAAAGTGTAGGGTGATTCGAGTCTGTCGGCACACCTGTCAGGGGAGGTCCGGGGCCATTGTTTAACCTGGAGGTAACATCAACACTCTCCATTTTCTGCCCTTGGTGAAGGAGGGGGCCTTGGGCTCCCGAGGACCTAGCCTGACACCAAGTTCATTGGGACTGAATGGATGGGAAGAGGCCACCCTCCGGGGAACTGAGAATTCTTTAGAACTGGCGGCAGGGAAATGGGTCATTTCCTCCTTCCCCTGCTATCTCAAGGCCACTAAACTAACATGCACACATATACACATGTCTTACCTCTTGGTTTTTGAGCCCCAGCTCTAGGGCTCTCTGCACCATCTCTCTATCTTGTCCTCCTTCCATAAGCCCCTTCCAAATTAGAATAATGCTTCATCAGAACTAGAGCCTGTTGAATGCATCTAAGTACCTACCACTCATTACTCATTAAAGCATGATCTCACGTGCC